ACATACCATTTTATGACAGTCTCACATGTCAAGAAACTCAGATAGGATCCATGAAGATAATCCAATTCCAATAATCGAAAAGGCAGAGAGCAAAAAAAAAATCATTTTTGCTGTTTTTTTCAGTAGCACAGGTCTGGCAAAAGCAATTAAGCTTGGTGAACAGAAAGAAGATAGTAATGGCCAATTGGTACACTACAGTTTGTCTTCCTAGAATTCTGGAGTCACTGAAAATTTGAAGTCAAATTTGCATCATGATAATCCTTCATCACACACTGTCAAGAAGGCTGTTGATTTTGTTCAAGCTATAATAATATGAGTCATTCAACATCCATCATATTCACCAGATTTGGCATTGTGTGACTTCTATTTTTAATTTCAAAAAACATTTGAGGAGTTGCAAATTTAACACAGAGGATGAAATTGAAGCTTTTGTAACAGTGTATTTTGATAACATTCCAGAAAATGAGTGGTGTCGTGCTTTTGATCTTTGGAAGGAGCAACTACATAAGTGCATTTTGGCCAGAGGAGAGTACTTTGAACATAAATAAAAACATTTTGTTTCAGGTCTTACCTGTTCTTTCTTAATTTAGGTTACTTACGTTACTCCCACGCAAGTCCCTAGTCTCTAACTGTAACTGATTTAGAACCGGCATGCACGTTATTCTTCGCATTGTAAAATGACATTGCACATGCGTTATGAACTTCTGTTCGAACAAACCTGACCTGCCGTCCGGGTCAGCGATTTTTGAAATGATGGCAACACTAGGACTTGGGAACCTTTAAACATCAATAAATGCAAAAAAATTTGGGGTTTTTCTGTGTTTTGTGTGTGTGGGAAGCAGCATGATTTTATTAACCCTCTTTGAAGCTTCATGGTGTTCTCTCTTTATTTTCACTCTCCCAATGCTTCTTACTGTTTAGTAAAAACTGATCCATTTTTTAAAATACATATGAGAAGAAATACTTCAAAAATGTCACTTGACTTATCACAACAATATTCAGTTGATATAATTTCAAACTAATTCATCACTGAAATCACATGAAACTGACAGCTGTTTATAAATGAACACAAAGTACTGAGAAAGTTCAACAAACTAACTAAAACAATTGAGAAATTTATTTATAGTAGAACACTATGTAGTAAACATTTTGTAGAGGTTTCTGCAACCAGTTATTACTAAACAAGTTAATGGTTTGCGCTGGGTCTGCTAGATGTCACATCTTATTACATTGAATTGAAAATGAAAATAAAATTATGAAAATTTTATATTTTGTAGTGCCCCTTGTGAGAAAGCTGTGGCTCCTAGGGCACTGCAGTGCACACTTTGGAAACTGCTGCATTAGATAATATATGTAATTTATTAATAACTAGCTTACCCGTCGCGCATTGCTGCGATCTCAGAAGAAAGGAAATTTAAGCAAACTCATCATGACAAAATTCAATTTACATTTTATAATTTTTATTAAAATTTATTATTATTACATTATTATTTTGAGTCGATATTAAAATTTGGAAAAGGGGAGATACCTAGATCGGTAAAATACGCGAATTTCCTCCTACAACTTTGGTTGTTGTTCGGGGTACAGTTGAGGTTTTAACGAAGTTCGAGCAAATACATAATTAGCAAAAAAGAAAGTTGAAATAAAGTGATTAAACAAAAATTATTACAAATATCATAAATAACAGTTCACAAATGCATATATAGAGATATTTTTTGAAGGGGGNAATAGTTAATATTAATAATATAATAATAATGATAATTTATAGTATTATTGATATTTGTTTGATTGTAATCAATGTAACGTAATTGGTCAGGTCAGCAATGAATTTTTAACCCGAATTTAAAGATTCTTAATCTAACAAAAAATGGGGCCCCATTGGACTTCAATAAGCCCTAGGCCCCGAAAAACCTAAATACGCCCTGCTGTCAACGGTTTGATTTTGTGTTCAGTATATAGAGTAACTATTAACGGCTGTTTTTTTCTAGTTTGCATTTTATTATTGTAGAATTTCCAATGAAATAAATTTAATTAAGAGCTCTTATTACGGAGGCATAATATAACCTGCCTGTTATATTATGCCTCCGTATGCCTGCCTACAGTATATTATGCCTCGTTATGTGCCTATATTATATAACAGGAACCTTATTTATATGATTGTGTTTTTATGCATGAATAAATTACAATCAATTTAATTTAGATAATGAAGGAGAAAATCATAAAACATTCAGACAAAAGGACTAAATTTTAATTTTCTATTGTTTTCTAATCAGAGATTATTCTTGTTTCTTTTATTTTTTAGAGTTTGATTTATTTTATAAATGACGACTATTTTGTATTTGTTGCTCAAGAAATAAATGTTTGTTTTAATCATAATTTTAACCATAATTTAACCATAAAAGAAAATTTCAAATATGACCTAATGTAAACTTTTGCGAAAATGTTTTATATTTAACGTAGTTGTTGATTTTTATGACACATTAACAGTTGTCCTAGTCAAAGGTGCGAAGAATTTTCTTTTTCGTAAGTCTAGTTTCTTAGAAAAAATGTCAAAGCTTAGCTAGGCCATAATAAAGCCATGCAATATTTGAAATTATGATCTTTGTGTAATTCTATATGTAATGCTAGACAGTGTACAAATGAGCTATATACCGTACTTTAATTATATTTAGTTAATTGTATAATTGGCTTCCTATAATTCAAATCTTCCTGCTTAGCAGGGCTGGGCAGTCAGGACTTAGACTTGTTGAGCCGTAAGCTATAACATAAAACATTCTCTTTCCCTCCATCAACTACATACAAATACGTGCAGCTTATTTAGCTTATGTGAATATTCTGCCCTGCTGTTCAGTACATGCCTCAAAGATGAGAAGAGTGATGTTGACTACCATACTTACTGGTTAAATCATTCCGTATTATGCTCAATGTTTATATCATGACATGAAATAGAAACAAGATTTTGAAAAACATTAAAATTTATCAAATTAAAATATAATTCTGATATGAAGATATGTTTGAAAAGTTAATAATCTAGTAAATATCTGATGTTTTACAAAATATTGCTCGTTACGAATAAATTTAAACATTAAAGAATAATATTAAAAAGATGGAAGGATCTATAATTTCTAAGAAGTCTTCTATTGTAACTTACTGAAAAAGTTAGGAATTAGGTTAAATTTATAGCCAAAACAACATTATATTGTATGACGGTCAATAACTTTTATGATATAAATTAAATTAATTCAAATATAAGTTTTATTGTTTATTAAAAAAAATAATATTTCTCATTGGCATAACTAAAGAAATCACTATTTAGGAAGACTAAAATAGAGTTTTTATAAATGTCAGTATGCTGATTAAATAATTATTACAGGACAAAAGTTGATTGTTAAATATCTTTCATTCCTCAATAATCTATTTAAAATTATGATGCGTGGCGTATTGATCATATTATAGAATAAACAGAAGTTTTATATAGTTTTCAATAGAATCATTATGCGCTTAACGATTCCCTTTGAAAAGTTTTTAAAAATGATTCGTATTTCCTATGTTATGCTCACTTTATTATAGCATTAAAATGAGGACAGGATGATTTAATTAATGAGCTGTTATGGTTTCTAATTATAAACGTTTCGTTGATTAATATAAAGTCCAATTAAAAAACAAATAACAAGTTTTATTTCATATAACTTTTCAAATAATTTAATTTTAAAGAATAAAAATAAAGTAAAATTTATTAAAAATTCAAAAACCTTATCAAATTATTTAACAACAGTTTTTTTTAACATAAACGAAATAATAACAATAAAAAAAATCCTCAAAAATCATGTGATTCAGTTAGCTTTTCTCAACAATGTTTTTCCTAGTGAAAATTGATAACCAAATTTAATGCCTTCCTTCTATTAGTCTTGCGATATTTATTTACATTTAAGAGAACAAAAAGAAATTTCAAATCTATAGCCAAATCGAAGAATAACCGGTCAAACCCACTCCCAAACAATGGGAAAGTAATACGTGGCGGCCAACCATAAATCGGATCGGACAGCCAATCACCAACCGCATTCACCCACACGTGACCGAGCGCCAACGGGCAGACAAGGAGCGCCATCTTTGTCTCTTATCCCGTAGAGTTGTGACGTCATCATATGTCGAGATGGAAATTAAAGAAAACTGTAATCTTCGTATAAGCGTTTTCACCTGTTATGCTTGTAATTAAATAAATATGTTTCCTTTTGTTTCTTCTATACAATTCCCAGCCATAAAAATAAGAGCAAAACTAGTTTTTTCGAAACTATAACTGACAAAACAATTAAAATAAATAATAAACGCAGCTACTCAAAACGACATATTGAGTTGTGTTAGACATATTTTAGAAGAAAACACGTTTTATTTACGGAAAAATCTCCGTTAAAAGTATTAAAACTTATTCATCGACTGAATTCATTGAGAAAAGAAAGTTACCTTTCAAAAATTACCGTCAAAATAACCTTAAGAAACTAATTTAAACGGACTTTTGCAGTTTTATTTTGATTAATCGGGTATCGCATTTTTTAAAGCTCGTATAAAATTAAATTGATTGGAGGATTGAATATTAAAAAGCAGCTCGAATAACGATTGGTTAAGAGAAATAATTATAAAAAAATGTTGAAAGGTGAAACCTCGAATTAACGCTTTTATAACAGTTTTAAGCAGTGTAGATCGTACGGTCGATTTCTATGATTTTTTTGAGGATAGCTTTATTACGCATGGCAAAATTCCATGAACGCGACTAGTTTAGCCTAGTCGTTGCTCCTCTCTTAAGTAGACTGGCCTATTTCCCGTTTAGGGGTAGGTACCGTAGTTTCACTCGAGGGGCACTTATGAAACTCGTTTTTTTTTATGAATAATAATCCGTAGCCGCGTCGTTAATTTAAAAACGAAATATATTTTTGTAAAACGACTTTTTTATTAGACGCATTAAGCGTTGAGCAGAAGGTGTTATTTGATAGTCTTTTCCTTTTTACCCCCCGTTACGACTCCCCTAAATGTTACTTCTTGGAAGGATAACTGATCGGATTTAACTCAGCCAATGATAATTTAGAAAGCAAAAATGGCCGATAGACGAACGAATAAGAAACGGGGACGTGTACGCATCGTAGAGGGTGGCCCTCCCCCAAAGTGTATAACCCAGACCAGGCGCGATTAGTCGATTGGTAGAGAATTTGAAAACGAGGTCGAAGTCGCCGTAAACACTCCCTAGACCCATTAACAATCTGCAAAAGTGGCGGCGATCTTGTGATTTCGAACCCGGTTGCTTCTTCATTTTTTATCGTTTTCGTTTCACCATGGAAAGTAAACGGTTCATCGGTAGGCCTAGGGGTACAACACCGGCCGAAGATGAACTGTTAGCTGCGGTTGCCCGGCAATCGCCATCGTGTACTGCCATGGAACTGTTAGAAAGGCTTAACCTACCAGTTAGCAGGTCGACGATATACAGACGGTAAGTAACAGTTCCAAAACTCTACTTGCTATTGTTATTTATTGTACGGTGTGATGTGTTGTATGACCTTTAAATTAACGAAAATAAGCTTTTTATCGTTAACTTTTTTCTTTTTCCATTCGTTTTCTTTAAACTAATGTAAATCTTCAAAACAAAACGATTGGTCGAGTCTTTTACACGTAACAATGCTACACGTGGTGTTTTATACTTTGGTCAAACTATAGAAATAGAATACTTTTCATTATTTTATTGACGTGTACTGTACGTATTCCGGTATGGGACTATAATAATTTGCATCCGAGTTTATCATTATTATAAATATGCCGAAGTTGGCGTAAGAAGTATACTCGTGTATTTATGAATCTTACAGTATTGTGTTTTTATAAAGGACAATTTTTTTTTTACCTAAGTTAAAAAGAGAAATGCTTCCGTAACGCTAAATATAACATTTTTATTTAATATACCATAAATAAAAGTTGTTATTTTAGTATAAATTTTTAAACATGCTGTTAAGAAAGTAATTACACGCATATTGAAGCATCTCAAAATTGAAGTGTTGGGCAGCCTGTAAGTGCGTTTTCCTGTTAGGTGTGGCTGTCAGTTTCTGTGTACTCGAATTCATAAAAATGCATCATAGTTTATTCTGTTTCGATTATATAATTGAGTAAATTATAAGAATGGGATCTTTTATCATATAGCCAAAATAGCCATCATATAGCCAAAATAGTTTAAATTCTTTAATATTTTTTTATAAAAATAATTTATTAAGTTTAAAAGAATTTGCTGTTTCTTTTACTATACGAGTTAATTTGATAAAGTAGTGCTATTTTGCATTAAATTACCATTGATATTAATGTGATGATATATTGGTTAGCGCAAGATATTTCTCTATATAAGAATGATTATACGAATTATGTGTTATAAATGAAAAAGAAAATTGAATTTATGACGATTGTTTCAAAAAATCAGTTTCAAAAATCGTAAAATGAATAGCGAAGGGCAGCACGAAAGACTGAAGTAACTAATGGCGCAGGATATCTTCTTTGTTCGTCGATGTGGTGCCACCCAGAATAGCAAAGGCTATTGGTTGGCTATAGCAAAGAAAAACATCTACCTCGTGACGTCACAGACGTGTATTGTTAATAAAATTGGAGTTTCCGTTCCGTAATGGAGTCCAACGACAGCCGAATCTTTCAAAAAGAATCACTGCTTCATACAAATACATTTAATACATTGAAATTCGACTATTTACTTCTTATCCACTTACTACTACATGATAAACCTTTAACCTCTTTCAGCAAGTAAAAATTCAACACTTAACGAAACCGACGTTTTTGAAGGCATTTCGTTTCATAAATTAATTATTTATAGAACTGTATACAATTAAATTAGAGGTATAATTTTACTTCTACACATCACAATGCACGGGCGTCTGCTCTGTACCCGAATGGATTAGCGTGACCCTGTTAACCAGATGAAGTTTATTATCGAAAACCAAAAATTTTTTATGATATTTTCGAATCTCAAAACTCTCGATCGTATCCGGCGGGATATTTTTGATCGTTGAATATTGTTTATTTCTGTATAATTGCTCCATAATTACCAAGCTTTAATTTTAGGAACACGAAAATCATTTTTGTAAGGTAGCATTATCGATTTCAGAATGCTGCTAATGCGAAACATTATAATTAGATCTCATTTCAATACGAGTTCGTTTCGGAATTATGAGACTTTAAAATAGATTATTTTATGCTAGACTGAAGTATATACCTCATTCAGTATACTTAATTAATGGATGAAATTGCAACATTTGTAGTTTTCCCAGTTTAGTAAAGCAGGATAAAATATAAATAGAATTATGAAGGAAAATTTTAATATTAATGCGTTATAATTAGTTTTCAAAAAATATATATCAACTAAATATTACAAAAAAACTGGTGTTTTGCATATATCACTGAGTTTAATTTATTTTTTTTATTTATATGTACAGTACAGTTGTTTTTCATACAGTATACATAAATTTATCAAGGTACTGTACATTTAATATTGCTCTTGTCGATTTCAAAATATTCAATTAAAAGGTCATACTAATATAAATATATATATATAATTTTTATTACAAAAGTATAAACTAGAAATTAAACAATATTAAAAAGAATTCTGATATAACTGTTGCTTATAGTTAAAGTATCTGTCTTTGAGATAAGATGTTTTTCAGTTATTGCTAATTGAACATCCTGTCTAATATGTCTTGTAATTTTATACTTTTTGTTTTGAAGACCCCTAGATAGCACAGATGTTATAGTGTCAAAATTATTTAAAAGATAGCATTATTTTAAGTCAAATCTTTCAAAAACTACATTTGTAAATTATTGTTCACTAAAATAAATTTCTAGCCTTAGTTTGTTGTTGTTTCTAAGAATTTAATATTTATTTACATGAATAATTTAGACATGAAAATAGGTAACTTTTACTGTAATCTCATTAAATACGATATTTTCTTTTCTGTTAAACCTGTTGTTTAATGTTTTGCATGTAAAAATAAATATTAATTTTATCTTTAATTGTTTATGATTTCTATTATTCTTTGTGTTCATTTATATCAGGATCAGACTTTCCATTAAATATTCTAAAGAGAAACATCAGTTATTGACCCCAAATTTTGTCTGATGATAATCTAGTCTCTATTTTTGTTGTATAATATAATTTATTGGTATAACTTTATTTAAAAATACAGCTCTATTATAAAAGCTTTATAATAATTATGAGTATTATTCTGATACAGATTTTTTTACTATAATTTTTGTTTCTCATAATCCCTAAATCTATAATTGATTTGAAAAATCAAATTCTTGTTTCTATTATGTGCTTTAATAAAATAATTGAACAATTACAGTATATCATTAAGGTTAGGCATTTTCAGTGTTGCACCAATTTTGTATTTGAATTGAGCATGAAAAAAGAAGACAGAAAATGACATTTAAGTATTAATTTAAGTATTAGGCCCAAATAGTTCTGAAACATGCACTGAAATGCACCATATTAATATGCCAGCACTATTTTCAACTCCAAATTTCTACTGAAACTAAAGCATTTTAGCTGCTTTAGTTTTAGTATTAATTTGTTTCAACTAATAAAGCAATCACAACACCCATATTATAAATTTTGGAGAAAGATTCAAAAGGAAATCACAAGCACCATGTTATCAAATTGGACAGAAAGTAGCAGATTGGATTGGGCTAATAAATAAGGAACTACTTTTGCTACTAAATTTTTTTGTTGTTGGTTATTTGCAAATTTTATAGCCATTAAAAATATTTTTTAAAGAACTACAAATATAAATTTGTTGTTTTTATAATGCCTTGAATGAAAAAATTAGTTGTAAAATTTGCTATTTAAGTGTATAAAATATAATTCATTTTTGAATGTAAATTATGAAACCTCAAATGATGAAAATGAATATTTTGGTAACAGTGTAAATTTGTTTTTTGGCATTATTTTTAGTAAATAAGAAGAATTGTTGTATACTTTTTAATGTAAAAAATTTGGAAAAATTTAGTTGCAAATGAGACTATCGTGATGATTATGAGTCATTACTACTGAATTAACGAATGACTTATGAGGCAAGTGTCCTCATATTTGAACTAATTTTTTCATTTTAAAATTTACTTCACCATTTTGCCTTTTCCCCCTCCAAATGCAGCAATGGATATCAGTGAGTATGAATAATTTTAATTTTGATTTATTTTATATAAAATATTGTCTTTTGCTGAAATTGTGATTAAGCTGGTATTACTCAATTTGGCATGTATTGCAGAAACTATTTCTTTATCCATTTGAATTTGTTAGCTGCCAATGAATGAAAAGTTTAGTTGAAATGATTTATTTTGATATATATTAATTACATGTTATTACATATATTAAATAGTTCTTAAAACAAAAATATTCTATAAAAATTATAATTGTTCCAAAAGTTCATAGATTTAGCGTATTTTTTTGAATTTTTAATAATTTGAAAGATTGTTTGGCAAATACATATTTTTATTATTTTCCTTTAACATTGTGTTTTATTTTCAACAAAAAGAATTAATTCATACTATATGAATTCACTTAATTTTTCAGATCCTTTGAGAAATCTATTCAAAAGTTTTTTGAATTGTCCAGATTTTGAGGTCATTGATTCTTCAAAAATTTTGTTGTAATGGCAATTGTTTATAGTTTCTTTTCATTTTATCTTATCTAAATTGATACATATTGATTGCAAGGGTCTAAATTTAACATATCAGCAGTAAAAAATTTATTTTATTTGTAAATTTTGACAATTTTGAAATTTATTATAATAACTTGAAATACTGGTATCATTGTTGATCAGTATTTATACTAAAATTTCTGAATAATGTTCCTGATTTCAGAATCAAGAACAAAAGTACTTTTTCAAAAAGAAAAAGAAATATAACTGTTTTCTAATAAATTGCAGAATATTCTGTTTATAAATTATATTAGTGTTAAAAAAATTATTCATTTTGTTATAACAGAGTATTTTATTTTCATTTAAAGCTAATTTTGAAAATATTTTCTACATATTCAATTGATAATTAAGAATTGATTTTATTAATTGAATCAATTGTCTACATAATTTGTTTATTTAATGATTTTGGTTTTTAAAGTTTATTTATTAATTATTAGTTCAAATTGTTTTATTGAAATGCATTATTCAAGAAAATGTTTGATTTAAAAGTTATTTACTAGTGTATATTTTTAAATTCATATCACTTATGGAAAATTTTAATATTAGTTTCTTATTTTTCTTTTTGTTCTACTTAAAGTTTTCAGTTGTTAGTCTTAGAAATAATGAATACTACTTTATAGCCTCAAATAAAATTAAATTCATACCATTAAAGATTATTGGTTTTTGTCAGTGTGTATGAAAGGGTACTAAATTATAAAAACAATGTTATATTATGATGATTGTTAGGAATGGAACTTTATTAAGACATTTG